AAAAATAAAAACCCAAAATAGTATATAAATGATATAAATATAATATCATGTAAATGTTATAAAGTTATAACTATAATGTGATATTATGACTGACTCTTTACATTTAAGGACTCATACGTAACATTATATACATATATTTATTGAATAACATGTTATAATTATAATATTATATGTATTGTATGTGCCATTAAAACTATATCATTGCTATAATATACTAATGTAAGGATTTTTTGACCCAAGGGGATGTCTAAACTAATTAAAAGTTTGAGATTATAAGTTCAAGATCTCGTATTTAAATATTGAGATGGGTGAAGAGGAACTAAGGGAAGGAGAGGGCAATCTTTTGTTGGATAATCTATCATCTAATGGACAATATACATATATATATATATATATGGAATTTCTAAAAGGAACTCATTACTCACCTAAGTAATGATCTACTCTCTCTATCTTAAAAAACTATCACTTTCTGATTTTTTTTTCTAAATTAAAGATTTGAAGAGAATTTATATATTTTCTTCAAAAAAATTAAAATTTTTTATGATAAAATAATTAATTAAAATAAATAAATAATGATACAATTAAAATAAATAATATTTATTTATCTTGTAAAATAAAAAAAAAACTAATTTGAGATAAATTTAAAATGAAAAAAATAGGGTTAGAGGGGTACAAGACTAAATTTTAAGACAAATTTCTGGCAAAACTTAATGTGATCCCCTAGACATTCCCCATTTTTTTGACATAAGTCCTAAAAAAAATGGCATGCAAGCCCTTGAACGCCTAAATTTGAGCAAATTAGACCTTGTATTAACAACGAAATCACATGCGATCAAGTAAGTTAAGCAATTATTTATTTAATTTGTTTACACATAGAAGTTGACATGATAATTATTTTACATTTAATTTCTATCATCATGTAGCTCAAAATTCTCAAAATTAAGAGTTAAATGCTGAGCCTTATGCTACATCAGCATTTGAATGTAAAGGAATTGCCATGCAAGTGGAAAAAACTAATAAATGTTTAATTTACACGATCGCATGTGATTATGCCGTTAACACGAGGGTTAATTTGGTCAATTCTAAATATTTAGAGACTTACATGCCTTTTTTGGACTTATTTGATAAAATAGAAAAAGTCTAGGGACTTTACACTAGATTTGCCAAAATTTTTCATCCATTAATTTTGCGGTTCCACCAACTTATTAATTACCACAAAAAATTGGTCATGCTAATCTGTCCCAAAGTTTATCTACCGCATCATTTTTCAATTCTCACACACACATATATAACATCAAAAAAGTTAAACTTTTTATAAACATTAATAAAGGAAGAGTCCATTGATATTGAGACAATTCATTCCTTTATTAATAACTAAAAATAATGTAATTCGCATGGGACAAACTACACTGCAGCGCGTGGGAGAAACTGCATTACAGCACTCTCAAATGGTATAGCAACTATAATTAACAACGGTAGAGCCAACATCATTAAACAAAAAGGATAAGTTGAATTACCCTTGTATTGTGTCAAATGAGTTTGAATACTTTTTGTACTCTGTATTATCAATAAAATTTTTGGCTGTTCAAAAAAAAGAAAAAGATAAGTTGAATTACCTTCCATGCCCCAAGAACTAGATGATCGAAACCCTCTAGGAGACAAAATTTCTCTAAGTTGTGCGTTTCTCTTCTTCTCTCATGCAAAGATCGTTAGATAAGTTGAAAAAATGTTGGAAAAGAACTATCTCGGTTTCTTTTGAGGAAAAGAAATGATTGGGAACTAAGAGGAATTTTTAGGTGACTTAAACTAGAGGACATTCCTCTCCTGTAGAATGTTGTTTATGAACAATCTTCTTTTCTTTTCCGATCGAGAAAGAAAAGAAATGACTAGGAACGAATAGACTTTTTGGAGGGTATTTTAAAGGGTTAAAAGTAATTATTGTACCATAGAATTTTGTTTTTTTTTTTTTTATCATCCTCATACTTTAAAGGGTCCTTGTACGGTTACACTCTCCATCTCCAAAAATGTTTGTTGAGACTGAGAGATCCTTAATTGAACGCTGTTAGTGACATTGCACTAACGACGTTCAATTTCATGGGTTATTATTATTATTATTATTATTATTATTATTATTATTATTATTATTATTATTATTATTATTATTATTATTTTCATTTTTAATAAACAATTTCATGGTTAAGCTTAGAAGGCTTGGATTTGTAAATTATTTTTCTTTTTCAAAAAAAAATTGACATGTGAGGCCCACATCCCCACTTCAAACCCAAGCTTACATATTTTTTTGTTATAAGGATAATTGTATATGGATACAAATATATATATTTTAAAATATACTCCTTTTGTTCCAAAAAATTTGTAAGTTGTTTGACTTTAAGTTTATTCTAAATTAATTATCATGTTTTGTTTTTAAGATAGAGACAAATTTTTTTTATTTTATTTTAATCTTTATTATCTATTCATTTTAACTAATTATTCAATCATGTCTCTTTTTATTTTTTTTTTATTTCTTTTTTATGGTTATTATAGATAAACTCATAAATTGTCCCTAGATCAATCTTTTCTTTGACGCCTGTAAATTGTCTCCAATCTTTAATTTTAAAAATAAGTAAAAAAAACAACAATTATTTTTAGATAGAACAGTGAATTTTTTGCCTTTTTACTTTGATTTATGTTTCAAAAATCAATTTGGGACTTGCACTTAATGATCTTAATAAGAAGTTAATTTAGCTTCATCTAATATGGTAGTTTTTAAATTTTTTGTTTTGGTTGCAAAAATTTAAACAATTAAAATTAGTAATTAAAAACAAAAAGTAAAAATTAAAAATCTCAACTTGAAAATTTTTAGAACTATATATGACCCAAAACTAAAAATTTAATTAATTTATA